ATATATTTGGATATTGGTTTCTTTCATGAATACAGAGGGTCAACCACAACCACAAAGGGGAAACTGGAAGAGATACCCAAAATATTTAAATAGCATCTTAGTTCCCTTTCCCAAGCTTCAGTCAGTCTACAATTGCTCCATTCCCTGGTTTGCCTCTTAATCCCTTGAAACTCCACAGGAGAGACTGTATCAGCAAGGGGGTAGGGAGATGACACACATTCTCAATGGGCAAGCTCTCCCCGGGAGAAGCCACTCCCCCAGGGAGTGATACCTGAAACCTCCCATCACCCCTGACAAGGTCAAAACACAAGGCAGGACACAGGTCATCCCCAGCAGTGAGTGAGGAGGCCAGCAACACCCTTCCCCCAGCTCCCCACACTGCCTGGCTCACCCCGTGTTTCTTCCCTCTCCTGCAGGTGGGTCTACTGAGTCTCACTCCCTCCAAATTGGTCCCGCTGCTCTCCTTCACTAAGGCTTAACTGTTCACTGGGTCTTCTTCCCTCCTGTTGCTCTTTCTCACAGTCCCTGTGCTTATAACAAGGCAGACATGACTTTTAAACTAATCCTGCACTACCCAGAGCCTCTGAAGCTCACCTTCCAAAGACTGCCTAGTCTCCTGGGTCTGGTCCAATCACTTAACACATGAATGTCAGAATGGGAGCCACTCTGCCTGGTTGGAACCCTCACCCTGGCTTTTTAAAATTCCTTCTTAGCCTCCAGGCTGAAATCAGCCCAGTTCAAATATGCTTTGAGCTCAAGGGGACTGCAAATCTGTAGACTGCAGATCTCCCTCTTATTGAGATATTCCATCCATTTCCCCCTAAGTTGCTGTATGTCAAGTGGAGGGTCATTTATCAGCATGTTTGGGGTACAGCTAACATTTTTTGTTTCTTTTATACGTGTGTATATGTAATATAAAATGTGTGTATATATGTATACATATTTTCTTTTGAGAAAGGGTCTCATGTAGCCCTGGCCAGCCTTGAACTTTCTACATAGCTGAAGATGACCTTGCATGTTTTTTAAATTAAAAATAATTTTGAGGGCAGGTGGTGGTGGCGTACACCTTTAATCCTAGCACTTGGGAGGCAGATGCAGGCAGATCTCTGTGAATTTGAAGCTAGTCTGGTCTGCAGAGCAAGTTCCAGGACAGGCTCCAAAGCTACAGAGAAACCCTGTCTGAAAAAAAAAAAAAAAATATATATATATATA